TACACTATTTTTGAAGGAGACACACAAAAGTTATGGGCAGATAATAGAGGGGGCATACCTTTTTCAATCCGGAGTGGAGCGACATGTCGTTGCAATGCCTCCGTGTGCCTTGTCGGTGGTAGATGGGAAGATCTAACGTAGGGCTGATGCCTTTCTTTGTTGAAGCGCAGGAGTTGTTCCCGTCGCCCGTCGTTACGTCGATCTCTTCTTGTTTCTGATTGTATCGCCGTTAGCCGTTGGGTTGGTCCGTTGAGGTCGTCCTCATCCGCTCGTACTTCGGCACAGTAGGCGTTGTGGATCTCTTCCCATGTGGTAGGGGGATATTTCATAAGTCGGCTCAATAGCTTTTTGGTCGCCCTCGAACCATCTCTGTTCATCCCGTTTTAGAAAGTTGCGACTGCCATACCTTCCGATATATTTGGTAGGCTCATCCTTACTCTGTTGAATCTGGCCAGGAAGTCCCTAAGTCCTTCTCCTACGGTTTGCCTGACAGCAAAGATATCGTTGACCCTGGCCTCTACTTTCTTTGCTCCTACATGGGCGGTGGCGAACTTGTCCGCCATTTCTTCGAATGTTGATATCGTCCTTGCCGGTAGTTGAGAGTACCAAGTTAGGGCCCCCCTGTCAACGTTTCTCCGAACTTTTTCAGCAACACGGATGGTACTTGTTCTTTTGACAAATTGTTACCCTTCACAGCGGTCATATAATGGATCAGGTGGTCTTCGGGATCCGTGGTCCCGTCATATATCCTCAAGTAAGGTGGCATCTTGAAGGTTTTCGGGATCGGGTGAGGGGCAGCCTCCTCGCTGTACGGCTGTTCGACGAATCTTCCTACGTCGCGTTTCGGCAATAACTTCGGAGCACCGGGAATTTTGTCCACTCTTTCCTGGTGCTCTTTCATTTGATCTCGAAGTGCCTTGTTCTCATTTTCCATTTCTTCCATCTTCTTAAGGATGGCTGCGAGTGCACCATCGTTGGCCTGGACATCGATGTGGGTGTTATCTGTTAGTACAATATCGGGTTCACTGGTGGTAGCGACGATGTCTGCCACTGAGGGATTTCTAATGTTGCTTTGGGGTGAGTTTTCAAGCATGCTACCTAGAGTGTTCATCAACCACTCTTCCAGCAGTTTCTTGACTCTCGGAGGTGGTGTTTCTTTGACTGCGGATGTAGAGGCTCCTTTTTCGTGTAAGATTGTCAGGTCTTCAGATGAAGAGGGTGAGATCTCTCCATCCGGTGCGCTACCAGGTGTTGTACTCAGAATGTTCTATCTACCGGCCTCGTTAAGAGGGCCTATGAGATTGGTTGTGACGCCTGCTATTGCTTTCATTCTTGCGTCATTTTCTGCCATTTTTGGCTTCTGTATGGTGCGAAGAACGGTGGTTCGTTGTTTTTTTTTTCTAGGTGCAATCTATGATTTCGATTGCCGAAGTTCTCACAGACGGCACCAAATTGTTTGACTCAAAAGATACTAGATACCTTATAAGTGAGAACAATCAAAATGAATCAAGGATCAATCGTAATCGAAGATAATAAGACCTAGATATGTGTGTTATATTTGTTATAGCTTCCAATAGATTGGATATTCAAGAGGGAGAGAGAGATAGAGAGAGATAGAGAGAGAAAGAGAGATAGAGAGAGAGATATCTTGTTCAATAATCGAAAATCCTCCCCTTACAACATTGGGATCCTCCTTTATATAATAGGAGACCCTCCTTAAAATAATAAAATAATACAGAGATTGGTGGCGTTACTTCGAGAGAGAGACGACGGAACCGATGATACACTTCACGCCGACATTCTTAGGTTGTGCCCTCACTTCGGTTAGCGTATACTCATTGATAGTTCCTACCAACGTGGAGACGTAATGGGCAGAATTTGACCCTATACAACCTCACCTTTTTTTTTTTTTTACTAGCTTTAGCACATTAGTTCCTCAATTCTTTTGTATTAACTTCAACTCAAATATTGTCCAAAGCCTGCTAATATTGAGTAAGCGAGCCAGAGCTGAAGAATTGGTCCAAAAGCTGAAGTGGCCCAATTTCAGTAACGAGCACATTTTCCGCACGCTTAATTAACGACCAACCACCGCCACCGGACAAACTAGTCAAACCACCACTACTCACGGCGGGTGACACCCAATTGTGAGCTGATGGCCAGTCTCATCGGCGTATCATCTTCCCCTTATCCCACCCAAACCTCTCATTTCCCCCCATCTCGCTCTAATTCTATATCTTCCCTCATTCAACTCAAGGTACAGTCACTCTTCATTTCTTCAAGATTCAAATTTTTTTGCCAATATTAACATTTTTGTTGCTTCGTTTCTTAAAGAGAGATTCAGCGCAGCGATTGTTGTTGCTTCGAGTGAGCTGCTCATCGAGAAAGGTCGAAGATGCAGAGACAGAGTCAGAACCTAAGGTGGTGTTATCAAATACTTCTGCTGACACAAGCATTTCAGCATACAATTGGTGTGCAGCACTTGGAGGTGTTGGGTTTCTCGAAACTTCTTACTTGACGTACCTCAAACTCACCAACTCCGAAGCATTTTGTCCTGTTGGTGATGGTAGCAGCTGCGGCAACATCCTTAACAGCAGCTACTCAGCTGTGTTTGGTAATATTCTTTGCTATTTTTAGGAAATTTTCTGCTTTCGAAGTATCTTTGTAACCTTCTATAAATATCTAAAGTTTTGTTGAAAGAAACAAACTTTTAAAGTAATCTATAAATGTCTAAAGTTTTGTTAAAATGAAACAAATTTTAATCTGGAAATATTAACACTGCTGGACAAGTTAATTGCTGGGAACCTGAAAAAGTGGTTGGATACAGTTATTTTTAGCATTTAGTAAAGTCTTCACCAGACAAACAACAACTAGTTCTCAGTCACAAACAAGTTGGGGTCGGCACAGAATGTAAAAAGCCTTCACGCTTCTCTTTGATGATTAGCCTCTTGTTTGATTCTCTATATGAATTATTTACTTACCATTGACTAAAGAGTAGAAGGAACACTTTTTAGTATTTATTGAAGACCATGTATCGCAATAGGATCCCCTTACCATTTGGAGATAAAATTGTTTGTGAGAGAATAAAAGGAGGAATACAACTATTTATGTGGTATTATATCTCTGAAAACCTAATAAAATTGACAGACTAAGAAGTGAAAGGTGAATTCCATTTACAGATGGAGATAGTAAATTTTCTATATTGTTGGCATTCGTCATAAAATGACTATGTTCTATTTTGATCTGAAAGACATAGATTGAACAATCATCAAATTGAAATTTGAAAGCAGTCTGTCACTTAAATTGCAGGTAATATGTTTTGGAAAGAGATTCAGTTTTCATCCTTTTGCATTTGCCAGGTGTTCCTCTTCCGTTGATTGGTATGATTGCTTATGGAGTAGTTGCAGTACTTGGGATACAATTGGGCCAGAAAAGGATGCCGCTTGGAATTGGTGAAGCTTATGGGCGTTTGCTTTTACTTGGAACAAGTACTTCCATGGCAGCAGCCAGTGCATACTTCTTATACATCCTAAGCACACAATTCTCTGGAGAATTTTGCCTGTACTGTTTAGCTTCTGCCTTATTGTCGTTTGGTTTGTTCATCAGCAGTATAAAGGTTATCTCCACCACAGATAATATTGTTTGTTTAGCTTCTATAGCTATATGCAGTGCTAATGACAAAGATGTGGCTTTCGTTTACAGGGTCTGGGGTCTCAAGAGGTGCAAAAAGAGGTGGGTTTACAGTTACTTATAGTTCTCTTGGTGGTTTCCACCCTAAACAATTCATACAGTGCCTCTCAGCCGACAAATACCAGGTAAATAATCTGTACGCCTTTACACCTTGTAGGTTAATATTAGCCAAAGTGTCTTTGGATTTGAAGGACAATAGGCAGGAGTTCCTTTTTCTTGCATTATATAAGGAAGGTTTGAGGAAAAGAAAAAGGAGCTTTTCTGTTTTATATTTCCTTGTCTATTCTTCCCAGAGTAGGTGTTGGATTGCTTGGAGCTATAAATTCAACTCTAACCTCTTCATGACAAGTCAGATTCTCCTCGGTCATGTACAGAGGCTGTAATCTCCTTATATGATCGTAGACGATTCTCATAACTTGAGTTAGCTTTAGGTTGAATTAGGCTCAACATACATTTCTCAACTATTTCTTTTGGGTAAGTAGGCAATATCTTATCATAGTTCCTTCTGATTTTCGATGAAGTAGGTTTGCAACATTATGGACCTTTCTTCTCAGACTGAATTCAGTGAGCTTATTGGGTTGAAATTGCTTAGAATTAAAAAGTCATGTTTGCTTGGCATAGATTACATCATTACACAGATAATACATAACTTATTTAATCACTTTCATGCATTATTTGAGCTATAATCTTAAGCAAGTAGAGAAGCTTGTTCAGTTTGTAGCATTATCAATAGCAAGATATCTTGGTCATTTTAAGATAGAAAAGCTTTTGATGTATAGCCACACTTAAAACTCTAGTTCGTCTGAAATCTATGAGTTGGTGAAAAGATCCTGCACATTATTCAAGAGAACACTTACTCAAATTCATTTTCCCATCTTTTGCAGTTCTGCTATGACTGAACTGGAATATTTCACAACTGAGATAAAATCACCGTCGACACCTTTTGCTATTTCCCTAGCTAAGCACCTGCGTTCAATTGGAGCAAAAATGTATGGGGCTTTCTGGTGTTCTCACTGCCAGGAACAAAAAGAGGTTCTCCTTCTTTTTGCAGTTGTGCTTTCTTAAAATTGCATTGATGGGCATAGAAACCATATTATCCTCTGCTTGTATTTATATAGAATATGAAAATGATTGTTTTTCTAATTGATGAATTATTTCCATTTTGGTTGCCTCAATGGCATAATGACATCTTTTCATTAGGCAAAAAAAGAGATATAAGACTCTGGTTAAGAGTCAAAAGAAAAAATGATATGGGTAGGGAAGAATATGAATGCCCATCAAATTACTTGGATGGAGTGTTAACGTCTCCCATAAATTTGTAACAAGAGCATGACTAAAGGGGAAAAAAGAGGGAGCCTTATCTTTATTTCTTTTATATCTGTTGTGTATTTGCTGGTGCTGGAATTTGAGCTAAGAGCTTCAATGTTTTTATTTTTAGAGCTCAGAAGCAGATTCTCAGAGCTGTGACCAAAACTGTTTTGTGTATGGCATCTCATCTTTAAAAATGTTAAAAACTGCCTTAAAGATCCACTGAAATATGGAAACGTTGACAAAATAATTCAGTGTCTTTGCTTCTTTACTCTTCTCATCAAAAGCTTCCTCGTCAACCTTGCTGTTGCACTAGATACTCTGATTTGCATCATGCACTTAACAGCATGTATAAGAGATGTTTGTACTAAATTAGTTTATTTCTGCTGTCACACTGCAACAAAGATGTTTGGACGAGAAGCATCAAAGCTACTAGACTATGTGGAATGCTTTCCTGATGGAGTCAAGAAAGGAATTTATATGGCCAATGCATGTCAAGAAGCAAAACTAGAAGGGTTCCCTACATGGATTATCAATGGGGAGGTGAGCAAGAATCTTCTTTCTGCTGGAAAATCTTTTATAACCTATATGAAGGCGTCAGTCATTCGCACGCTGGATGCTATTTGAACCTCTAGCTTTACATTGCGGGACCTTAATAGTTAAAACTATATATTGTGGCAGGTGCTGAGCGGAGAGAAAAAGCTTTCAGAGCTGGCTGAACTGTCTGGTTTCACTATGAACGAACTCACTGAGGCTAAATAAGCTTCTTTGACTAACACAACCAAATATTCTTAGGGTATCAAAGTTTATATCTTTATTATTGCCCGCTGGTATTTATTTTGTTTCATACTGTAATTATCTTAGTATATTGTAAACTGAATAGATAGCGTCATAAATGAATCCGAGTGGATTGTCTTCTGAGTATATATATCAACTCTATTACCCGCAAGTATATGAATTTTGTGGTCCTGTTTTCTGCTAATGTTGTACGTGTCCTATTTACCCCTGAAATTTTAATTATCTTGTTAAAGTGGTTACTTCTAGATTTTTTTTTTATTTTTTATTTTTTTGGTGATAACGGCGATATTGTGTGTGCACCTCTTGACTATTTCACTTGCCCATCAAGAAACTTTTGAAAATTATTTAGAACATTCTTTATGTTATAAATTGAACAGTGTATATAACTTAAAATTCTATTATATATTACAAGAGTAACAGACTTTCCTAACTTGGAAATCTTTTCTCTAAACTTATCATTAATAGTCACTATTTTGTTATCAAGAACGTCAACAGGGACTTACCTTTATTCTAAGTAATGTTCAAATCTATCAACAAGTCAGTTTTGTTTCCCTTTTTGGGTTTTGGATTAACTTCTATTTAAATATAATTATTTTCTTATTTTAAAATCTCAATAATCGTGTCAAGACCAAATAAAACACTTAAGTTGGGATTGAAAGATAGTACTACTTATGTTTTACAAGTAACTTTCATACAATTGAATGTTGAGTTTAAAACTCAGTCAATAAGTTTAACGAAACTGAATGTCGAATTCAGAATTTAGTCGCAAAACCTAATAAAATTTAATTTGGAAAATGTAAACATTGCGGAACTAGCTATGTTTAGTTTTATATGTCATTGTTCTTTGTATTTAACTTGCCTACTTTATTCAGAGAACTAACTGTTAAAAATGCAAACTCGAGCTTGAATTGAGCAATCATGGCTGAAATTTTACATTTAGCTCATAGAAAATTTAAAGATAAAATGTTCTAGAAGAAGAGCTCTTGTTGTCTTCTCTGTACAAAATGACCCGCCTATATCCTAACTAAAATGGAAAACATAAATACAAATTGGGCCAGGCCCAGTTACAAAATATACCCCAACTAACTAACAAGACTAGCCCACATCAGTATTATCACACTCAGTTATCCGAACCCCCCCCCCCCCCCCCCCTTTCAAGTTGGAGTGTGATAAAACACCCAACTTGGACAAATGTGAATGATGGGCAGCACTAGGCAGACTTTTGGTGAATACATCAGCCATTTGAGTGGAACTGGAAGTATGGAGCAGGGTAACCAAACCAACATGGTGCGAACAAAATGACAATCCAGCTCAATATGCTTGGTCCGTTCATGGAACACAGGGTTCTTGGCAATGTGAACTGCAGCCTGGTTATCACAATAAACAGGAATAGAAGATATGTCAGTCAAGCCAAAATCAGCCAAAAGTCTAGCTAACCATGTAACCTCTGCCACAGCCTTGCTCAAAGACATATATTCAGCTTCAACTGAAGAGAGAGAGAGACAACTGGCTGCTTCTTAGATTTCCAGCAAACCAAACTGCCACCCAACAGGATGCAAAAATCAGTCACTGATCTTCTACTATCACGATAAGACCCCCAATCACTATCACAATAAACCTGGACAGAAAAATCTGAGGAGTTATTAAGGAAAATCTCAAGATCAGAAGTACCATTCAGATACCTCAGCAGGTGGAGGGCAGATTTCCTATGAAGAACACAAGGTTTCTGCATAAATTGACTAAGATGTGCACAACAAATGAGAGGTCTGGCCTGGTGTGAGTGAGAAAATTCAACTTCCCTATGAGGCTTCTGTATACTTCAGGATTGGGCAAAGGTTCAACAACAGATGTCATTAGTTTCTCATGCAATTCAAGATGGCACACAACAGGGGTACAAACATCACAATGAAACTCTTTTAGCAAATCGCTGATAAACTTTTTCTGATGAAGGAAAACTCCAGATGGAGTGTACAACACCTCAATCCCAAGAAAATAATTAAGCAGCCCCAAATCCTTGATTTTAAATTGGTCATGTAGAAAGCACTTTAAAGCAGTAATTTCATTCATATCACCAGTTAAGATAATGTCATCCACATACACAGCTATAATAACCAAGGAATCACCTGAACCCTTGGTAAACAGAGAATAGTCATTGTAAGAATGGTGGTACCCTCTAGACTGTAATGCTTGTGATAGTTTGGCATACCATTGTCTGGATGCTTGCCTCAAACCATAAAGAGATTTCTGCAATTTGCACACTAAAGGGACATAAGAAGAAGGAGAAGAAACAGACAAACCAGGAGGAAGTCTCATATATACTTCCTCATCCAAGTCACCATGCAAGAAGGCATTATTAACATCCAATTGAAATAGGGGCCATCCCTTCTTTACTGCCACAACAACAAGAGTCTTGACAGTAGACATTTTTACAACTGGAAAAAAAGTTTCATGAAAATCAATACCTTCAACTTGAGTATCACCCTGAACTACTAGTCTAGCCTTATACCTTTCAATGCTACCATCAGCTCTATACTTAACCTTATAGACCCATTTGCAGCCTATAGGCTTCTTCCCAAGGGGCAAAGAGACAACCTGCCATGTGTTGTTAGCTTCCGATGCCTCAAATTCAGCTCTCATGGCAGCCTGCCATTCTGGAACAACTGCTATCTGAGAATAAGTTGAAGGCTCAAGAACAGGCAACTGACTAGAAATAGGAGGTGGATGATCAGAGGTGGAGTCAACTGAAGTTGAGTTGCAGACATAACTTTGAAGATAGGCAGGCTGTTTGTGTTCCCTAGTAGACCTTCTTAAAGGAGGAGAAGCAGGAGAAGGAGAGGATGAAACAGGAGAAGGAGATGAAGAAGGTGAAGGTGGATGTATAGAAGAGGAGGAAGGAGGAGTGGAAACAGAAGGAAAAGAAGAAATGGAAGCAGGAGAGAGAGAAGGAAAGAAGAAGGAATAGGGCTTGCACCCAAGGAAGGAGTATGAACAGGGTGAAATGCAGGAGACAAATCATCAAAACAAGCAGAGAAAGGGAAAGGACACATACTAGAAGAGACAGAAGAGGATTTGAGAAAAGGGAAAATGTGTTCATGAAATACAACATCCCTAGAAACAAAACAAGAATGAGACTCCAAATTGTACAACTTGTAGCCTTTCTTGGCAAAAAGGTATCCCACAAGCACACATGGTACAACCCTTGGTTGGAATTTATCTCTATGAGGCTTAGGCACAGTAGAATAACAAAGACAGCCAAAAGCTCTAAGATGTGAGTAAGAATGAGGCTTACCATAAAGAAGTTCAAAAGGACTCTTGTGAGATAGAAGGGGAGAAGGAAACCTGTTGATCAGATAGGTAGCTGTCAAGATACAATCAACCCAGAATCTAATGGGAAGATGGGACTAAAAAAGTAAAGCCCTAGCAGTATCAAGCAAGTGTCTATGCTTCCTCTCCACCACCCCATTTTGTTGAGGAGTATGAGGGCAATAGGTTTGATGCACAATTCCCTTAACAGAGAAATATTGAGAACCAGAAAGACTAGACCCCAATTCCAATGCATTATCACTTCTTACAGTTTGCACCTTGGTGTGAAAATGGGTCTCTACCAGGGCAATAAAGGCTTTCAACATATCAAAGGCATTGCTTTTGGACCCTAGGAGGTGGGTCCAAGTAGCTCTAGTATAATCATCAACAATGGTCAAAAAATATTTGGATCCAGTATATGTGGGTGCATGGTAGGGTCCCCAAGTATCAATACGTATTAATTGAAAAGGGGCAGTTAATTGTATTGAACTATCAGGAAATGGTAATCTGGTTTGTTTGGCTAAAGGGCAAATAGGACAAGAGAAAGATTGTTTAGAAGATAAATGTGGACTGCATGCAGAAACAGATTTCATTTTGGAAAAAGACGAATGCCCAAGTCTGTAATGCCAAACAACATCCTCTTTATTCACTTTATTAACATGTGCATCAGTGGCTACGTTTGTATGATCAACAGACAAGCTTGCATGACTACTAGGTGCACTAGGAAATGCAGTAGAGGAAATATTACATGGAATAGAACAAGGAAAAATAGTGGGTAATGTAACATGGCAACTCAAAGGACCAGAATTTGCGGGAAGTTGAAACAGCTTGTAAAGTCCATTGTGTGGTCTACTAAGCACCACTGGCTTCTTCAGTGAAGGGCCCTGTAGAGTACAGCCAATGTTGGTAAATTGAACTATATCACCTGGTTTTCAACTAACTTATAAACAGAAATGAGATTGTGTTCAAAGCTAGGGACATAAAGAACATTATGAAGGGTAAGATCAGGGGACAAAGTTAATGAACCAATATTGGTAACTCTAACTTTATAACCATTAGGAAGAGAAACTAAGTAAGGAATGGGTAGAGTCTGAATGTCAAAGAGAAGGGACTTATCAAAGGTCATATGATCAGATGCCCCAGAATCTATGATCCAAATAGTATTCTCTATTTTAGTAAGTAGACAAGTTCTGAACAAACCATTCTCAGGCAACAACTTACCAGCAAAATTAGCAGAAGCCAAAAGGTTTGGAGTAGCAGGAGAAGCGGGAATGTGAGACTGTTGAAGCAGAGTGATCAACTGGGGAGTATTGATCCTTGGTCAACCCAGGCAAAGTGTAAAGCTGCTCAGATTCAGTATGCATGGCAGGACCACCAGCATTTCCAGTCTCATCAGAGTTAATAGGAGATTGAACCTCAACATGTGCTGCAGTTCTCCTAGGTGTATTACCTTTAGTAAATTTGAAATTCTGAGGAAAACCATGCAACTTGTAGCACTTTTCAATAGAATGTCCTGGTTTCTTACAGTACTTGCAAATGATAGAGGACCTTTGATTGTCTGGTCTTTGAGGATTGAAAGTCACCTTAGAGGGGAAAGATTGCTTGGATACTCCAGCATTAAAGGAAGCAGAGTTTGAGTTTGAAGGAAACTGAGAAATGGAGGATACTTGCCTTTGTTTCTCATCACTTAGTAGAATCCCATAAACTGTACTCATAGATGGAAGGGGCTTTATCATCAAGATATTGCTTCTGACTTGAAGGTAAGTCTCATTGAGCCCCATTAAGAATTGATATACCTTCTGCTCTTCCTCGGCCTTTTTATTTCCCCCACATGTGCATACAGAGAGGTGATTAACAGAAATGGAAGCTATTTCATCCCAAAGTTATTTTATTTTGTTGAAATAGGAGGCTATGTCCAAAGAACCCTGAGAAATGTGAGATAACTCCTTCTTAAGTTCAAAAATCCTAGCACCATCAGCCATACCATATCTCTCCTCTAACTCACGCCAAATGTCTTTGGCGAGTTCTAAATACTCAACACTACGAGAAATCTCCTTGGTGAGAGAATTGGTCAGCCAAGACACAACTAAATCATTGCAACGTTGCCATTGCCTGACTAGAGGGGAACCAACAGTGGTTTTTCAGTAGTGCCATTTATAAAGTCTAATTTATTGCGTACAGATAGAGCCACCAGAATATTTCGACGCCAGCTTCCATAGCTAGTGCCATCAAAAGGAGTGGAAACTAGAGAGGCTCCTAAAACATCGGACGGATGTACATAAAGAGGATGTGGCACGGGTGAGTATAGTCATCAGGATAGAAAGCAGTAGGACGAGAGGAAGAGTTTCCTCTATTAGCAACAGGAGTAGCATCGCAGGGAGGAGTAATCGTCATAGCAAATGAAAGAAAAATCCCACACAATATCAAATAGAACAGCAACAGTTTAAGAATAACAAAGCAACCAATTGACTTTACGGCTCACAAATCTCGATCAACAAGCAGAAGCAATCAAAAAACAGACAATGGAAGAGACGATGTTACCAACGCCTTCGCGACCGGAAGGAGACGGCCTTCTAGCAGCAATAGAAGAACCCTAATCTTCGAAATGAGCTCCAATGAGAAACCCTAACAGACCAGATGAACTCAGCCAGATGAAAATCGACGATCAAAACCCTAGATATCTGAACAATTCCAATCGACGCAGAAATTCTCACAATTTGACGAAGAATCTCACAATTTATGAAGAATCCAGGACCTTCGAACCTCAAATCGATAGACGGAAGAACGAATTTGAAAGAAAAACAAAAAAAAAACGATCTTAGATGCGAAAGTGAGAAGACTCGGGTGAAGCATTACGAGCTTAGCATCGGAAGGGATTCAAGGACCAGATTTAATGCTTCCCGTTCTGATACCATGTTAAAAATGCAAACTCGAGCTTGAATTGAGCAATCATGGCTGAAATTTTACATTTAGCTCATAGAGAATTTAGAGATGAAATGTTCTAGAAGAAGAGCTCTTGTTGTCTTCTCTGTACAAAATGACCCGCCTATATCCTAACTAAAATGGAAAACACAAATACAAATTGGGCCAGGCCCAATTACAGAATATAACCCAACTAACAACTAACAAGACTAGCCCACAACACTAGCCCACGTCAGTATTATTATCCGAACACTAACTCTATTTCCAATTTAACATCCGACTTTGCTTAATAATTACTAAGAAAGAGAGCTGACCATTAGAATTTTACTTCCATTTTGCCCTTCCATGATAATTCGACTGAGTATGAAGCCTAATATACATATCTGACTTGAATATTTTGTAGTGATAAGAGGAACATAATATTAAAATAGTTATGAAAAAATAGCTTGATAGCAAGAACGTTATACCAAAGTGTAAATTTTGAATATTTTAATGAATTTTAATTCTGGATAATTAATAAAAATTAGTACTATACAAAAATTGAGGTTTAATATTGTGGATAGTCATAATTTTGCTTTTTAAGAAAAAAATAAATAAATCAAAAGCTGAGTTTATAACTACTTCCTCTCTTGTTTTGGCAATCCTCAGGGGTACCATTTTCAGTCTCTTCCTTTCGAGCGATCACATTCTTTAACGGACAGAACAATGGTGACAGTAAATCTCAAGTCTCTGCTCATATTCTCAGCATTCCTTAGGGTATTTTTGATAGTTTACGGAGAATGGCAAGATAGGCATATGGAAGTTAGATACACAGATGTGGACTATCTTGTTTTCTCAGATGCAGCTGCTTTAGTCGCTGCTGGAAAATCCCCTTATGAAAGATCCACATATCGCTACTCACCCTTAATTGCCTTTCTTCTTGTGCCCAATTCTTTCATTCATCCTTCTTGGGGAAAATTCATCTTCTCCGCTTCAGGTATATGCCCTTTTTGGGTTCTTTTTACTGCCTTCAGGTCTGAGCTTTACAGTTTTAATAAGACTAGTTATTCATGGTTGAGTTAAGTTTTCTGTTTATTATTTGTTGGAAAGGCCAGATGCATGAAAGTTATAATCTTTTGACGATTCAAGATTTGTGGGTTATTCTTATAGTCAAATTTTGAATTTAGCTCTTATTGGATTTTCTGTAAAAGGGCTTCTCATTTCAAGACAATTCAAAGTTATCGTTTTTATTTTATCATTTAGCATTCTTGTTTTCCCTCATATAAATGCTTCTTGCATGTGGAGGTCAAGAGGTTTCAATTCTCTTTGTTTATGTTTATAAGCTTAGGTATCATTGGCAATCATTGTTATTGTTGTAGTTATATGACTAAGAATGGGTGAATTGTTAAATGTGATAAGCACTTGCACTTGCACCTTTGTATCTGAGTTGATTGTTTCTTCTTATTGCAAACAATGCATATTTGGAGTTCTTAGAAACATTACATCTTAATTATGTTTCCAAAACAGATATGCTTACTGAAACTTACAATTGAGTTCGTGCGGCAGATCTTCTCGTGGGATTTCTTATCAACAACATTCTAAAGCTAAGAGGGGTTCCTGAAAAATTGTGCACCTATTCGGTGATGGTATGGCTTTTGAATCCATTTACCATTACCATTGGTACTCGCGGAAATTGTGAGCCTATTGTCTGCGCCATAATCCTTTGGATTAGTATATGTGTAATGAAAGGTAAAATTTCCAGTACCTATTTTTTTGTGAAGTAAGTTTCCAGTACCTTTTGTTTACATCTAATATGGTTGTGTTGAGAATTTACTCCCATATTTTTCTTTTTCATTGTTAGTTTACTCCTCTACTGTTACTTTCTCTGTTATTCTCTCTTTCATAATGGTCCTTGTCTCCTCCTTAACCTGCTTTAGTTATCATGGGGCAATGTAAACGACAGTTAAGAGGGGATATATGGGAGGGGAAGTATTTGGACTATGAGCATCATGACTTAGGTGATGACACTGGTAGAAAAGAAGGTATTGTCATCAAATACAGGTCAAGATTGAGTCTTTCTATTCTCCCACACCACCTTAGCTTTAGGTGTATAATGCCCCAACCCAATATTATCAGCCACTGAAGGAGGTTTCAGAGAGCAACCAATGTAAGCTGGATATTTATTCTTTTACTGTTAGAACTTGGTTTATCCGATAAAGAGATGAAACAAGGCTTGTCCTGAATCTGCCACTGTTTCTTTTCATAGCTCTTATACAATTTGAACCTATAGTTAGCCTCTAGTTTGAAAGAAAAGTAGAAACCAAGAATGTTAAATCTGGAAACTTTAGGGTTAAACAGATAACTCTTTTTATTGAGGGTCTTTTCAAGAATTCTCCAGTAATTCGGGTCAGATAACTGTATTCTCATATGGGTTAGTGCCACTTGAATTGTGGCTTCATATCTTTTTTCTTTATAGGTTAAAATCGTCATGCCCTATTGACTTTGGTAGTTTTTCCTGATCAGGTCGTTTAGTACAAGCTGCATTTTGGTATGGGCTCGTCGTCCACATGAGGATCTATCCAATAATTTATGCTCTTCCGATCATTTTAGTTCTTGATCCTCTGTTCTTCCAGTATGGTACAAAACCTGCTCTTGTGAATTGGAGTTCTAGAAAAAGCAAGTCACATCAGACTTCCAGCTGTAAAAAGCTTATGGATCCTAATTGTATATGGAACTTTTTGACAAGCCTTTTTACCTGGAGGAGGATAATGTTTGGGCTTATTTCTGGAGCTATGTTCTTTCTCCTTACTGGGTTTTTCTTCTATTTATATGGATGGGAGTTCTTGCATGAAGCACTTCTCTATCATCTCACACGTACTGACCCAAGGCACAATTTTTCAATCTATTTCTACCACATATATCTGCACTATGAAAATGAGTTTTCAAGCTTGGAAAAGCTCATCTCATTTCTGCCTCAGATTATGGTGCAGCTAGTTCTTGTTTTCCGCTTTGCACAGGATTTTCCATTTTGTTTCTTTGTGCAGACTGTGGCGTTTGTAGCATTTAACAAGGTTTGTCAGCAATCCTTGAATCTCTTTGGGTTGAGAATCAGCTAATAATAGCTCGACTTTCCATTAGCAAATATAATGTTCTTTTGCTATGCAGGTTATGACAGCTCAATACTTTGTTTGGTTCTTTTGTCTCTTGCCGCTAATCCTGCCATGGACCAACATGAAACTCAAAGGAAAAGGATTGGTCTGCATCTTGTTGTGGATGGCAGCTCAGGGTCATTGGTTGATGTGGGGATATTTGCTTGAATTTAAAGGAAAGAATGTCTTTCTTCAACTCTGGGTGGCAGGTTTGCTATTCTTGGCAGCAAATACTTTCGTTCTTATCAATATTATCCAGCAACACACATACAGTCCAGTCTTCCAACAGTCATCTCCTGCCGCTTCAAAGAAACATGTCAAACAGGGATGAGGAATCACATCATATACCTTCCTAACTCAATGGGGGAACATTTTAGAGCTAAAAGAGTATTTAGCCATGTTCAGGACGTGTCGAGCTTTTCATCATCAAGCAAAGCACTTGACATTTTCATAGCTAACACAAAAATGCCAGCACTGAAGATGTACCAAGAGATTGTAATGACTTTATTCTTGACCTCTTGTCCATTTTGATTTAGAGGATACTTCACTACAAAAGCAATTTACAATTGTCTACAGCAATTTTTTTGTACGCGGGATGGTTGAAGTTTTCTTGATTACAGTTTACTTCTCATTTAGTTTGATATTCATTTCCCTCCCTTGCTAGAGTTAGTTAGCAGCTAGAGGAGTGACGTCACATCCTTTTCATGTGCGTTGCTTGCCTGTATATCTTTGTAAAACCAATATGATTGGTATGAATAAAGATATCTCTTTTTGCTGTTCTGTGTCATTGTTCTTTCATATTCTTGTTGCCTCGTTTTCGAGTGTGGTTCCTTGTAGCTCATTGAATTATTGGATTTCCATGTGATAAGAAATGAAGATCCTAGGGTTGTTGAAGTGTCCATGGGAAATACTGTATGTTGGACTGATCTGAACTCCTTACAAGCAGTTACCGCCAAATGCTACTAGTGTGATAGTGTGTGCAATGCCGCTGGATGAGGTCGATAAATTGCTCGTGTCAGCATTTTTTTCACTGAATTATTCTTGCTATATTTCATTTTGGATAGTGGTTGGGCAAAGGTGGAAAGAAGGTGAAAAAAAGTGGTAACCTAGTCATACAGGTGCACTGCCACCCCTAGAATGTATCACACTTGAGGAGGAAAACATCCTCAAAGAAGATAATACTGTTAAATGGCAAGCTATAAAAGGTGAAGTTCATTCCGATATTACATTAGAAAATGAGTGAAATTGTCTAGACATTACATGTCTAGAGGCACAAAGCTAGGCAGTTGTATGGGCCACGAGATTTCTCCTTATTATGCTTTCTAGTGCTTACTAGTGAACCTTTCAAAGAGTAAGTTAATTTGTTTCATTGGGACAGAAAACAAAGGGGTGATGTGATGCAGAGGATATTGGTACTGACAGCCAATGCCCTTGACATATGACCCTTTGTGCTTGTTTCCAATACTCAACTGTCCTTGTTCAAGCAAGTTACTGAGTAGGAGTAGCTATTATGATTACTGTTTACTTGGATATTACTACAATGGTGGTTGACAGTGGCAGCATTAGCTATTCTACTGATCCTAAATGTTTCTCCTTGTGGGTGGTCCTATATTTGCCCTCTTGATATCATTCTATCTCCATGGTCCTAATGATTTTGTGCCTTCATTGTTAAGAGTATGTCACCTATAGTTGCAGGGTTGAAATGGGCCATATAGGGATTAACTACTATCTATCAACAATTAGAATGATAACATTGACACATTGAGCAGCTAACTTTAAAATTAATGACATTATGAAAGAAAAGCATTAAGATTGAAGATTGTAGGGCTTTACCCAGAAGGGAAGCCCTTTCAAAAATTCTCAACGGCCAAGGCAGAACCCAGGCCGAAGAGGGGGTTTGGAAATAGTTTTCAACCAGCAATAGACGCGCCTCGGTTAGAACCTCACTAGCTGCGTCATTGCCCCAAGCGCAAAGATGAATTTTCCCAGCTTCTGCCATCCCTTTTTATAGTCCTCTTTCCCTGAATGTTGTCTTCATATCTTCGATGTGGGAGACAAGTAAGAAAAGGTCTAGTACTCCACTCATATGACTATTGCAGTAAAATGATCCTTTTTGTAATGCAAAGCTGAAACTAAACCGTAAGTAGTTTTACCTTGATGGTAAACCGGAAGTAAAAAATTAAAAAAAAAAGGATAATAAATTACTGTATCCCAATTTATTTCTGAAATTCTGAAGTTAGAAATAGTAGTCCCTTTCTATGTTGCATAGGCAAAGACATAGCAACTCGAGCTCGATAAAACTTGGACACGACATGAAAATTTTCAGAAAAAAATAATAGATATGTCACTGTTATGAACTTATGTTACAAAGAAACGAACATATTGTATGTGGATGCATGTGACAAAATTCAAATATAAAAGTACAAAACTTGATAAAAGAAAAGGATATAAACCATCACCGATAGAGATCAAATGTTATCATTTTTTGGGGTCATCAAAGATTACGTAATTAGTGTTATTAATCTGTATTTGTAAAGTAATTTTGGATACAAAATAATGTAGATAGAAATGTGGAAGACTTCGAAATTAATCCGAGCCCACTAAATTTACAGTATTTTCTTAAAGAACTTAATCCCCTCCTAATACTTCAAATCTCAGTGTTCCAGCGAACACAAATGGGGCAGCAATCGCACTTACTTTATTTATTTTGTAAGAAAACAATGCAAAAAGGAAAAAGAGATTTCCGTAAGAAAATCTATAGGAAATAACATGTATTTATAGCCAAAAGGTTGGGTATTACCAAAGAGTTGCAACTCTTCATTTTAAGGCTGCAACTCAAAGTGGCTATTTAAATTACCGTTGTAGAAACGGCTAATTTGGATTAAAATAATATTGCGTTAATCTTAATATTAACAAAAAAAATTGGTTCAAAAAATTAATCAATTATTTGATGACGGCACAAGGCTTGCCTTCTTCTCAACTCTTTAAGAGCTAGAAGAAGTGCAATTTTATATATACCCATCAAAACTCTTTTCCTCCTCCAATATGGGACAATATCTCTTTGTCAAAGTGAGAAATTCAAAATTTTCATTTTTCATCAATTTTTCATTTACTCTATTTTAAGCTATTACAAGCTTAAACCAACAGTTAGTAGTATATTACTACTAAGTAGCAAAAGTTATAGGGGGACAGTATATAACACTAAGCTAGTAGTGGCATGTATACAATCAAAATCAAGGAGCCCGATTTCGAAGTCTTAAATTGGGCTATGAGTCCGAGTCCGGGCGACTTGAAGTGGAGGTCGGACCCGGCTGAAGGACACACACCTCGATGAAGCAAATCGAAGGCCTGGGACGACCTACATTGAGGGCAGCACAATCTCGAAGACACTCAAGAAAGAGCGAGAATTTCTCAAGGACATGTGGATCAGGGCATAAATTATAGGATAAGATTTGTACGAAATAGTACAAGTCCGTACTAGGTCGTTATACAGCTGTACCAATAGAATTTTTTATCATAATTGGAAATGTACTATATTAGGGTCTCCCCCCCCCCCCCCATATAAAGGGGACCCCAATCATTTGTAAGGATTATCTCTCATTCTCTGCAATAGAACATTCTACTCTGCTTTTCTTGTTTAACGTGCTCAACAATTGTTCTTCAGCTTTATTGTCTTTACTTTACTATTCATACTTTATTGTTCTTAGCTCATCTCGAGGCCCCTGAGATAATCGAGCTCGAGGTCCTTATTGCTCTAACAACACTGGTTTGGTTCATCAATTCTTTTTACTTAAACTTAATTTTATTCATACATTCACTAGTATTGGAATAAATTACATGTCTTTAAAACCACAAATCATATTTAATTGTTACTCGCATTTTTCGAGGTAAATAGTTTGGCGCCCACCGTGGGGCTAAAGATAATAGTGATTATTTTAGTGCTAGTTTTCTGATAACACGCGTTATTCTTCACACTTTTTCTTGTCAAAGATTCTTTGATTTCAGGCTAAGATATGTCTAGTACACAAAACGCACTTGCTCATGACAGTGAGGGACTCGGAGAAAATAGCGGCATAGGGGTCGGTGTACCACCCCATAAACCCCGAGGGAGTGCCAAATATGGAGCCAGTTGATATCAGCTAGCATAACGCTCTAAACACGGACGTAGGAACAGACCCCGTAAGGAATGCACACAGGGAAGCTCGAGCCGAAGGCCAGGAAACGCGAGGAATGGAAGAAGGAGGAGTCAGCCTCCAAGTGATATTCGAGATGCTGCAAGCTCAGCAAGTCGCCATCGCTCAACTTCAGAGTCAGAACAGAACTCCAAACACCGCCGAACCAGTGGACGCCCGGCATACGGAACCTGCGCTTGAAAGGCCCGATGAAAATGGCTCGGGGACTGATCTCGCTATTATAAAAATGCTCGAAGAAATGACCAAAAGAATCGAGTTCGGAGAAAAGAAAATTGAAGAATATGACAAAAAGGTGGAGACATACAATTCAAGGGTCGATCAGATACCAGGAGCACCTCCGATTTTGAAAGGACCGGACTCGAAAAAATTCATACAAAAACCTTTCCCCCCAAGTGCGGCTCCAATGCCCATTCCCAAGAAGTTTCGCATGCCCGATATACCAAAATATAACGGAATGACTGACCCTAACGAACATATTACCTCATACACTTGTGGAATCAAAGGAAATGACTTGAACGACGATGAAATTGAGTCAGTATTATTGAAAAAGTTTGGGGAAACACTATCGAAATGAGCTATGATCTCGTATCACAACTTAGCCCCTAACTCTATTGATTCATTTGCTATATTGGCGAACGCCTTCATGAAAGCACACGCTGGGGCCATAAAAGTGGCCACAAGAAAATCGGATGTCTTCAAAATAAAACAAAGGGATGATGAGATACTAAGGGAGTTCATGTCCCGATTTCATATGGAAAGAATGGAATTACCACCGGTCTCCGATGACTGGGCAGTTCAGGCCTTTATGCAAGGTTTGAATGAAAGAAGCTCGATTGCATCTCGACAACTAAAGCAGAACTTGATCGAATATCCGAGTGTGATATGGTCGGATGTGCACAATCGTTATCAGTCAAAAATTAGGGCCGAGGACGACCAGTTGGGAGCCCCCTCGGGCTCAATTCATCCTAACAGATTCGCAGCCAAGCCCCCGAGAGACACAAACCGGGGATCAAGATTCAACAAAGAACGGTATCAACCGTACGCCGAAGATCGAAGGAACAGTTCAAGGCATAACATACCTCGGAATGATCGGAGAGCGGATCGAGACCAAAGTTCCCGGGGACTCGTGAGCAAAATCGGGTTTGGTAGGCACTCGGGACCAGTAGAGGTACCCAGATTTTCAGAATACAACTTCAGTGTCGATGCCTCGAGTATCGTCTCAACCATTGGCAAAATTAAAGATACTAGATGGCCCAAGCCTATACAGACTGATCCTTCTTGGAGGAACCCCAACTTAATGTGTAAATATCATGGTACTCACGGGCATAAGACCAAGGATTGTAGGCAGCTTAGAGAGGAGGTAGCCCGATTATTCAACGAGGGACACCTTTGTGAATTTCTCAGTGACCGGGCCAAGAATCATTTCTGAGAAAGAGATGCAAGCAGGAAGAATGAACCTGAAGAACCTCAACATGTCATTCACATGATCATCGGTGGAGTCGATGTCCCCCAGGGACCTATATTCAGACGTACCAAAGTATCCATCACAAATGAGAAACGGACTCGGAGCTATGTGCCCGAGGACGC